CAAGGTTAGTAACAGTCGAGAACCCCATGGAACAGGCCAAAGGCCTGGCGATGCGCTGCGGGAACGTTCTTTGAAAAGAAAACTTCAGTTTTAGCGCGACTGACTCGCAGTCCGGACATAGAGCAAAACTCCTCTAACACCAATGTGACCAACTGTGCTTGGTCCTTGGTGGCCTCTAAAAACAGTAAAAGATCATCCGCGAACATGAGAAGCGGGACATTAACCTCCTCTCTTCCGACCGATATCGGGCGCCAAGTACCGGATCCAACGTGGCTATTAATAAGATGCGCCAACCACTCAATGCACAAAACAAATAAATACGGTGAATGGGATCCCCTTGCCGTACTCCGCGGTCTGGAAAGAAAGCATCACTAGTCGAGCCATTGCAGCTAAGCTGCAGAGCTGAGGACCGAACACACGCCATAACATTTCGAGTGAAGATGATGGGAAATCCAGCCGTACGAAGCGTTTCCTCCACGAAATCCCAACGTAAATAGTCATATGCCTTTTCTAGATCGACTTTGATAACCATAAAGCCCTTGCGGCCCGTCTTAGTATTTATATTGTCAGTGATGTGACGTCCACGCACAAAGCTCGACTGAGATTGACCCACTAGCAAAGAAAGGATCGACTTCATGCGGTTAACCAGGATCTTTGTAATCAGCTTATATGCCACGTTGAGAAGACTGATGGGCTGAAACTGTCGGATAGCATCGGGATTGGTGACCTTTGGGATGAGCACAAACACGGTATTATTTAATTCGAAAGGCATGGCGCCGCCATTAAAAAAGGTGCGGATCATGTTACTCACGGCCAGGCCTACCGTATCCCATTGCCGTTGGAAGAAGAGGGCATGAAGCCGATCAGGTCCCGGTGCTTTCAGCGGCTTCATATCCTCTAGCGCAGCTAAGATTTCAGGAGAACTCACCTCGCGGCCCATAGTAGCAAAGGAACGACAGTCGAGCCGAGAGAATAAATTTGCCATTCCCGGCCCTGCCTGAACTGGCCCCGAGTGCATGTATATGCTTTGGAAATAAGTGAGAGCCATCTGTTGAATGAGGATAGGGTCATCAACAATAGTGTCGTTATCATCCCTCAAGAAAGTAACACGGTTACGGTGGAGGCGTTGCTTGACCGCCCTGTGGTAATAGGACGTGTTGCGGTCACCAAATAAAGACCAATCCTGTTGGGATTTTTGTAAAAATAAGAGCTCCTCTTGTAATGAAACGTCCTCGAGCTCCTTTCGAAACGTGGCTTCCATGTCACGTAAAGGTGTAGTGTATTTCTGGAGCTCACGGTGAACTCCAGCCAGGCGACCAAGAAGCCTTTTCTTCCGTTGAAAGACGTTCCCAAAGACGTGGAAATTCCAGTGCCTCGCATGCTCCTGAAATCGTTTATTTGCGTCGGCATAAGCATGACCAGCCCAAGCCTCCCTGACTACCTCGGCAAACCCATCATGAAGTAGCCATGCAGCCAGAAATTTGAATAGTTTGGGCGCACGGACCGAGCCATGCCGGGGCAGAAGACGGAGAAGGAGAGGAAAGTGGTCTGACTTGGTACGTGGCAGATGCTGGACGAAGCTTGTACTGAAGGCGTTGGTCCACGCCGAGTTGGCCACAAAACAGTCGAGTTTCTGTTTTAAGTCCCCTCGCTCCCAAGTGTATAAGGTTCCATCCGTTCGTAACTCCTCTATCCCGTTACGAAGACGCCACGAAGAAAAATCGTGATTGACTGAATATCGGTGTTGAGCTCCTCCCGTCCTTTCGCTAGGCTTGAGAATGCAATTAAAATCACTTCCGAGAAGCCAAGGTTCGTTAATGCTCAGTGCTAACGCATCAAGTTCCAGCCACAAGTTGCGTCGACATCGAGCATTAGGGCTAGCGTAGATGAATGTGACAAGGAATTCCATACCGTCTTTAGATACTCGAGCATGAATGAATTGACCGTGGCATCTAAGGATCGTGAGATGTACGTCTCCCTCCACAAAATCCATATCCCTTCGGAGAAGCCCAGGGCCTCCACTCGAAACGACCGGCCAAAGCCACTCTTTTTGATAAAAGCATTAGCCTTAGCACCACTGATACGAGGCTCGAACATAGCAAACACATCTGGGCTATAGTGAGTAGTGATCGTAGAGAAACTTCGGAAAAACTCTTCCGAAGCTGCTCCTTGGACATTACATGAGATAATATTCATCAGGAAACACGAAAAGGAAAGGGTGACACCTGTCAGAGGGAACTGGGTACTTGCGAGGCTAAAGCAGCCTCATCAAGCATGTGCACATCATTGCCTATATTTTCATGCCCGACCGTAAGCGACATGTCATGTTGCGGAGGGTCCAAGTCTTTACCGAGTTATCTCCTGGGTCCAGTAAATCGGGCCTTGCGCCACCCGGGGGGGTTTAAGTGGGAATGTCCACGACCTGGACTGCCTGGTGTTTCAGCGGATCCAAGCCCGATGTGAGTGGGACTTCAACAGTCTGTTGCGTTGTTGCAGTCTAAAATGGCCATCCGCAGTGCCATAATGTTGCCCTAAGTTCTCTTACAGCTCACTGGGGGTCCTCTTGATGACGGTTGATTCCACGGGTTCCCTGATCACAGCCTTCCCGTTATTGGGCCTTTTGGGATCAGACTTACCACCTCGCCCCCGTCCTTTTGCGCCATTTCTGTTTCTCACCACCTGCCATTCACCCTCTCCCGAGTGAGAGATGTCCCCAGTAGCCCCCCTCGAATCACCGTCCTTTCTTTTAGCCTGGAAGCTCGTAGCTGGCGCCTGAAAAATATCTTTTCCGCTGTTCGGGCTGTTAAAAGCATGGCTAGTCGTGAGGCCCTCAGTAGGTGGGTCAAGCTCATCGCCCTCGCCATTTGCAAGCAAGGCAAAGCGGGATCCTGATGTCTCTCCGCCGTTCTGTTTATTGTGGATAGTGGTGGGGTCCGTTTTCTTGTTCCACGATGGTATCCTAGTTGCCATTTTGGCCCTCATCCACGGTCCAAATTGAGGGCCGCCATCCCCGGCTTCCGTAACAGGCAAATCAGTCTAAGCGCCGTTAGTTGTCGAGGGGATGGGTAATTGTCCTGCAGTTTCGTAGTTGTTATCCTTGTTCAGTGGCTTCGATCGGTCAGGGCAGGCCGTGACCAAATGACCACAGCGACAACATGAGTAGCAAATGTCCGGAAGCATCTCGTACTCGATTTTCTGGACCTTCCCACGAATAGTGAAGTGCGTTCGAAGCGGGCTCGACAAGTTCAATTGAACTGCCAACCGTGCAAATTTCCCTCGAGATTGAGCCGCGGTATGGTGGTCGATCTTGATTACCTTCCCCACAATTTCCCCAATACGACGGAAGATTTTATTGTGGTAGAGGTGGACCGGTAAGCCCGGCAGGCGGATCCATGCCACCGTGGAGGTGATTGGGTTCGTAGATTCATCAAACGTGTCAGACCATTGTTGGACGTGTAGATAGTGTTTGTTAACCACCCATGGGCCACCGACGAGAGCAGCGAGAACATCCTCGTGAGAGCGGAGTTGAAGAAAAAAGTAACCGTTCTCAGCGTCCAGAACGGGACATCCTCGCGCAAAAGGCCAAAGCTCTGAAAGCTTCCGATGCAGAGTCTCCATGCGCATTTTAAGGCCCAACAATTTAACGAGAACATTGCTGAAGGACTCAACACGACTTGCGTAGAACGAATCCTTTATTTTGATATCCGGAACGGGAGCAGTGAAGTCAATGACAACATCATCATCCGGACCTTCCCCATCGTCAACGGCGTCATCCAGCACAACATGGGGGCGATTCTTGTTAAGAGTATCTTTAAAGCTCAAAGGTGGTGGCTGTGTGCTCGTCGGCAGATGTGGAGTTGCTTTCTCAATTGGCACAGTAGCCTCCGTTACCGGCGGGTATTCCGGGGGCAGATCAGACCTGCGCTTTTTCGATGTGCGGGCACCAGAAGCCCCAATTGGGTTAGCGACGTGTAAATTCAGGAAGGGATCCGGCGGTTCCATCCTAGGGTCAGCCGATTTCTCGATGCCGGCGGAAGGCGATGTCGCAGCGGCAAAACCTAGCATTCTTCGTTCTTCTTTCGTGCACTATATTTTGAATACAACTAACACAATTTTTTAAAGTCAAGTAATAGTAAAGTGAAGATATGCATATATAAGTTGGCTTCACTCTCCAATGTACACCATTGAACATTTTTTTTTTTTTTTTAAATTATTCATCTTGAAGTTTGCTTGCTTCTTCACGGTAGGCTCGGCATAAACCCTTTTGCACTTGGATCCACCAAGTATTGATTTTATTTTTCTTCAGTTTTATGCATAATTTCAACATCTTTCACTGTTTTGATCTTTTCTGGGTATAATTTGTCTCTCGTCTTTACCTCTGGATAGGTAAAAGGTGAAATTTGTTGTATTGGCTCATCAATGTGTTGTAAAAGGTGAAATTCGTTTGATTTGCCCATCAATGTGTTAGTTCTGCTTCATGCTTGAAGGAGGCTTATCAGCTGGTGATGGCACAGGACATGAGAGAGCTCAATCCAAAAAACAGGACATACTTAGTGGCAGGCAGGAGTATTTTTGTGCATCTACAGCAACCTTAAATTAGTGTTTTAATCGTAAGTTCTGTATTTCGGGTGGTTTGTTAATATAAAAAAGGCGTCTTAAAGAGAATGAAGAAAACGAAACAAAAATCAATGTCGAGACACGTAATAGTTACGTTCTCCTTAAGACGAAATCGCTCTGTAAAATACCCACGGTTAACGGCAAACGCCTCCAAGATACAGCGACTTTCGACTTGTATATAGCGGTACTTCTAATATACAATCCTTCGGCGAACAATACTATTGTTTGTTTGGAACACAATTTTATGAAACAAATTTGCCACACGACAAGAAGTTGCCAGGTAAGATCAATTTCCTTATTCAAACTCGGATATGTCAAAAACTGCCTCATAAAGAACAAACTCAAACCACAAAAAGGAACAGGAAAAAAGAAAAAAACATGGATCACTTTGAAATGGTTTCTGTTGCCTGCAGCTCATCCGTTAACAGCTTTTCCTTTTCCTCAGCCAACTCATCCACGCTCTGCGACCCGGTCAGTCGGGCCAGGACCACAAACGACATCCCCCCAAGAATATTGTTCACGCACCTCAGGACCACAACAGATGTCTTGAAAAGAAGCGGAGGGAATCCTTTACCCAGCAGATACTCAATCCCATTCAGCGTCTGGTACCTCAGGTTGCTGCTTAGGCCCATGTGGCCTGCCCACGCCACGGCGTTCAGCAGTGTGGGCGGAGGCTTATTCGGGGTCTCCAAACTCGGGTCCATTTTCTTCCTCACTGCAATCAGCCCGTTGGAGATGACAGTCCCCACTAGCCCGGCCGTGAACCCAACCGCGGCAAAAACGGCACCCTTGTAAATGAACGTGCCAAACCTGCCGAGCAGGGTGTACGGACCGGGCTCGAACATGTGGCTCGTGGGTGAGCCTGCGAAGAAGAATGGCAAGGTGTGGGTGGAGGCTGAGGCAGACATTGTCGGGGCCAATAGGTACATGAGCACGAAATTCATGATGGAGCCAACGACGAGGGTCGAGAAGACAAAGTCGAGCTCGTTGAGTCCGAAATTGGGGCGAGAGGCCATGTCCCCGAGAACACAGGCGCTCACGCCCACCAACTCCTCCATGAGGACCTTGAACGGGAATTGGGGGTCAGCCAATACCCTAGACCGCCACCCGTTGATGAAAGCACCAACCGGCCCGAACCCATCAACTGATACGGGCTTGGGTTCGTCGGAATCTTCGCCACCACCGCCGCCGCCGCTCCACCCTCGATTGCCGCCGCCCATGTTACCACCACCCGCGGCAGCGAGAGGGGGGCCGCCGAGTTTTGTTTGGAAATCGAGATATAACATCGGATTCCCTTTGCATTTTAG